AGTTCATAAATCCTCATTCTCTTTTGCAGTTCCATCCATTCGTCAACCTTTGAACACATTTTGGGAGCAAATTAGCGAGGTAGCTACGCGCATAATTGAGTGGACAATCTAGTGCAGGATGAATCGAAGTTGAGATATGTTCGAGCAAAATCCGCAAGCATACGAGATCATTGATATGTAATAGAATTGATGAATTGAGAATATGATCCCACAGAGAATAAATTCAATTCAATTTTACTAACTTTTTACAGAATTCGAATTATGTAAATAAAAGAGAGTTTGATTTTATTTTATATTTAATTATTCAAAGAAAACTGTAAAAATGTGATTTTTATTAATTTATGGATGATTGTATTGGATCTCGAATCCACCTATTGTTATTTATTCTAATTCTTGATTTCTAATATAATTCCGTTCATGCGTTCTTGACAATTTACAAAACTATGATATATAATTTTTTTTCAAAAAAATTAAATATATTTTAATCATGACCCAAATCTATTTCTAACCCGAATTCGAATGATTAGAATGCATTAAAGTTCAGATTATTTATATGATTACACATGTGATAAATGTTATTCCTAACATCTATTGTACATATGTTAATTCTACTGCATCCTAAATTCATTGTAAGTCTCTCAACACTACAACCAAGAACTAATTATCTAATTGGTGGCCAATTAATTAAATAATGCAATGAGTATGCAAAATTAATCAAGAAACGCAAGAAATAAACTAAATTACAAATTTTGAATTAAAACATATAAACAATAGAGTCCATCTTCATCTTGATGAATTGGATGACACTATTGTGTATGAAGAGGAAAGAGATCTTTTTTAATGTGTAGCCCTCGTTCTCTATCTATAAAAGTAAGAGCCAGAAAATAGGTCAAAATCGTATCCAATTTGGTTTCCAAAAGAGTTTGAATTACGAAAGAAAACTAAAGATTTGTCTGTAGAAATGGCCCTCGCACGCGCCGTAAAGCCAAATGGCTCTTGGGTTGGGGAAAATAGGGCACCACGTGCACCACGAATTGCTTGCGTGTGCATGTTCGCTTAGATTCGTCCCAGAACAGTTTTCAGTAGTTTGGTCATAACATTTTCTACAGATATTCGATTGAGCTGATTTAAAATGATTTGAAAGATAATTCAAAGAACTACAATTCTTATAGATATACAAGTTTCCAATTCGAACGTTTTCTATCCAAAANGAGAGACACGAGACACGGAGGCACCACGAGACCACCTCGTTGCCGGGAGAAAATTAAGAACTCACCTTTCACGCAGGTTGGGGATGGATGAATGTAGTCCGGTGGGGGCAGTTCCGGTGCCGGAGCTGGACAGGTTTCCTCTCCTAATAGGGTTTCTTCGTTTTCACGACTGGGAATAGATAGAGGAAGCAGACAGGTTGTGTTGCGATAAAGAGGGATTTTTTTTTTTGGGCCAAAACGACGTCGTTTCAGCGGACGAAATTGTGAACAGTACTTTCCAAAGTGGCTCTTTTATTGTATAGGGATATGAAACATGTTATAGTAAATAGAAGCTCATTTTTTTCTTTTTCTCTTTCAGCTTTTCTTTGATGACAGCGTATGCAACTAGTGGCGGATTCACAGTGGGTCTTGGTGGGCCATGTGACCCACCAGCCTAGAACATTTTTTTTAATATAAATAAAAAATAAAATTTAACCCTTTGCAAGATCCATTCTATCTTAGAAGCCCTTGTTTTATTTAAGCAATTTCTTCTTCTGGTACAAGAAACTCCATCAGTAAGACCATATCAGCCAGTAGAAGAGGATTTGATTGGGTTTCAAATGGTGTGAGTTTCGGAGGAAATTGGAGTTCAAGAACTCATAATCTCTTTTTCACTCTATGTTTCGATTGTGGGCAAGCTCAATGTTGAAGGGAATTGGAGAATGAAGAGATAAAAGATAAGTTGGCAGCTTAAATTCTTGGAGGATAATTTATTAAAATAGGAAAAGGGAAAAGGAAGATAAATTGATTTGGGACTTTTAGCTTGGTTAAGCTTAAAAAGAAATTAGAAGTAACTTGTGAAAATACTTAAACACTAATCATTATTTTTATTTATCTATTTCTTATAAGCAAAATAAGCACCCATTTGGTATCAATAAAAAACATTGATAATAATTAAGTCAAAATCAATAATTCTTTTTCGTCTAAATTTGATAATATCACGATAGCATTCATTTATGCGATGAACTTAATTTATTTCAAATTATGTGCATATTTGGTCTTTGGTTTAGTATTTGAATGAAGGAATCAATCGTTTTCTCTTAGGTATTTGAATGTTTAGTTTAAGGATTTAGCCTTTAAGCCCTTGTTTGTTCCCTATTATTTTCAAAATGTATTTTTATCTCTCTTATTTTCAATCACATATTGATCAATAAAATAATATTACACACAAATCCAACATTTTTCCTTATTTTTTAATCACATATTTTCCATCAAAATACTATTTCAAAATACATTTTCATAACAAAAAAAAAGGGGGCTCAAACAATGTAAAAAGGACTTGACTCATTCTCTTCTGCAAAAATTCCCTTTTGTCATTGGAGCTATCTTTCTGGTGAAAACAAGCAAGAAAGGTGGCAAGAACCGAGTTCATAAATCCTCATTCTCTTTTGCAGTTCCATCCATCCCTCAACCTTTGAACACATTTTGGGAGCAAATTAGCGAGGTAGCTACGTGCATAATTGAGTGCAGGATGAATCGAAGTTGAGATATGTTCGTGCGAAACCCGCAAGTGTACGTGATCGTTGATATGTAATGGAATTGATGAATTGAGAGTATCATCTCACAGAGAAGAAATTTAATTCAGGTTTACTAACTTTTTATGGAATTCGAATTATATAAATAAAAGAGAGTTTGATTTTATTTTATATTTAATTAATCAAAGAAAGTCGTAAAAATGTGATTTTTATTAATTTATAGATAATTGTAGTGGATATCGAATCCACCTATTGCTATCTATTTTAATTCTTGATTTACAATCTAGTTCCGTTCATGCGTTTTTGACAATCGATAAAACTATGACCTAAATATATTCCTAACCCGAATTCGAATGATCAAAATGCATTAAAGTTTAGATTATCTATATGATTGTACATGCGATAAATATTATTCATAACATCTATTGCACATATGTTAACTTTATTGCATTCTAAACTCATTGTGAGTCTCCCAACATTACAACAAATAACTAATTATCTAATTGATGGCCAATCAATTAAATAATGTAATGAGTATGCAAAATTAATCAAGAAACGCAAGAAATAAACTAAATTACTAGTCTTGAATTAAAACAAATAAACAATAGAGTTCATCTTCATCTCATACAAAAAGGGATCTAACTTAACATGTTAACATATAAATTACAAAAAGAATAATAGAAAAATATCACTCGGATCATGAAATAGATCAAAAGATGTTGATCTTCAAGCCCAATGTTGAATTTTTCAAAATCTTGATATAATTGACCTTCACTTTCTTGCTACGGCTTGTTCTTCTCTCTCAAAATATAGTAATTGGCCTCTTATTCTTAATGAATTGGATGATAATATTGTGTATGAAGAGACAAGAGAGGTTTTTTTAATGCGTAGCCATCCTTCTCTATTTATAAGAGCTAGAAAATAGGTCAAAATCGTGTCCAATTTGAGTTCCAAAAGAGTTTGAATCGCGAAAGGAAGTTGCCGATTCGTCTATGAAAATGGCCCGTGTGCGCACCAGCATAACTATCGCTCGCGCCCGCCATAGAGACAAATGTCTCTTGGGTTGGGGAAAATAGGGTACTCCCCGCGCGTGCAAATTCGCTTCGATTCGTTCCTGAGCAGCTTTTGGTATTTTAATCATAACTTTCTCTATAAATATCCGATTAACGTGATTCAAAATGAGCTGGAAATGTAATTCAAAGAACTACAATTCTCCAAGAGATAAAATATTTTTAATTCGAACGTTTGCTATCCAAAATGGGTCTTAAGTTGAGGTTAAAAATTCGAAGCATAACTTCTTCGGTTGGAAATTCATTTGTGAAAATACTTCCATTATATTTCACTCATTTGACCTCCAATTGCATTCAATTGATCATATATGATCTTCAATCATTATTTTGTGCTCCGAATCAACTATTGAACATTTACACTTTGGTCCCCAAACTTTGGATTTCCTTCATTTTCACACGTTTTTCGTTCCTTTCTTCCAAATCAACCAATTTGAGATGCGAAATCTTGGAGAGAAAAACACATCTCAAACACATCAAATTAAGGTTCTGAAGGAGGTCGAAGCTTAGATTTTGCAATTGAAGATTGAATAAAGATTATTTCAGGCAAAGATTGGCGTTTAGGCAACAAGATTGGAGGAGGGATGTTCAACATCTTCTTTATTTTCTCTATAGTATTCCTGGCGTTGTACTTATTTTCACATCATTTCTTTTGTATGTGGTTGTGCAATCTAGAACTCTTTACGTCCTCTCAATTTGCAAAATAATATTAACGGTAAACAAATATTCGTAAATAATAAGATCTCTGTAACATGAAAATAGATGTATTAATATATGCATGGGGATGTGCATGCAGAATTTAGTAGTAAAATTAATAGTTTGCAGCCTTCTTCTACCAATGGATTATAACTAAATACTTGTTTGTAGTTTGTAGAAGAGGCTGAAGATCTCGAAGGTTGTAAACAAAACACCTAGGAAAGATTAGGATTAGTCGATGCGAAATCAACAAAAATGGATCAAGAGAAATATATCAAAATTATATAATTAATCAATCAAAAATTAATTTTAACCATATATTTTATGATATCAACAACTTGTCAACCATACATTTTTTTTTTAATAAAAATCGGCTAAAAATTTAATTTTAATCCCACCAAACTAGGACTAATTATTTAATTCCAAGTGAATTGACATCACCATAAATTTGACATGGAGGAGATTTCTCAAATAAGCATCACAATAACATTAATAATTTAACCTTTGCAAACTTACACACCAATTAAATATCAACTATTAGATTTTATCAAATAATTACCAAAGAGAATTGAATATTCTTTAACAAAATTGAAGATGAAAATAAATAAATTAAATTATACTCATTATAGTATTTAATTCAATCAATCATGTTTGGTGCACATCATGGTCTACACATTTATTTACATCATGCCAAGAGTTATTATCTCATTTGACAGTTAAAAAAAATTATTTTTTTCATCTACTTATTCCTTGACAACACGTCAAGTGTCAACATGAATGTACACAATTGATGTACAAGTGGCATAATCCTTAATTCCATTCAATACTGCATCCAAACACATGAACAAAAATTCAAGAGCGATCACAAGAAAAGCATAAACAAAAGTCTTATTATCAAATATATTTATATATAAATTTCTTTTGATTAAACAAATAAAAACAATCGATCCCCAATAATACTTTTCTACAGAAAATTCATAAAATTTCTGGATCAATTTTCTATAATACAGTTCATTCATTCAAACGTTGTTTCTTGAAAGAAGTAGGACTTTCTACTTTTGGTTCATCGCTACGAACCTGGATTCTCTCGCTAGAGTAAAGCGTAAAATCTGAGTAAGTCTCAGGTAACGCGGGCAGGTTCAAGTTGAAATCGTCGGTGGTGCGCCCATTGCTGGTGCATTGGCTGGAGGAGCCGCCTTTGGATGTGAACACACCGGGTTTCTTGCCGCCCTTCATCACGTCTTCATAGTGCTTCCGCTTGTGGCCACCCAAAGCTTGGCCAGTTGTAAAAGTCTTGTTACAGACATTGCATTTGTGAATCCTGCCGCCTGGGCTGATATAAGAGATATTAGAGGTGTTGGCGATTGCAGTAGTTGTGGCGAATTGAGACCGATCACGGTGGCTGGTTTTGTGTCCACCGAGTGCTTGGTATGATGAAAAGGACTTGCTGCACACGCTGTAAATGTACGACATATTCTGGTCCAGCGGAGAAGCAATAATTGTTGGAGAAAAGGGTTCCATTGATTTCTTGTCATCGCCGGTTGAGGCTAAAGCGCCTGCTCTTTCACTAGTGGTAGTGACAACGATGGAGGCAGGATTTAGTACATCTTCTATGAGTTCGGCGGCGGCACTGGTGGTTGGACCAGTGTGCCAACTCCTATTGTCCTGAGATAGCAACAAGAGGGCAAGTGCTGCTTCTTCTTCAATTTCCGTTGGTTCACGGTTTCTTTTCTTGCTAGATTGAGAAAAAAGAGTGTCAAACTCGTTGGTTTGAAGGCCCGCCATAGATGAATTTATGGCTTAACTGTGTGTGGAATTTATGAAGGAAAGGACCAAGTAAGATAGAGAGAATTCGAGTGAATGAATCTGGAATTACTGCTTAGGGTTTATATAGAGAGTAAGTTGCAGGGTATTGTAATTAGAGTATACTAAGGAATTAATTATTTCCTTTAAGAGAGTTTTCACAAGCAAATAAGAGCAATCCTAAGTTGATCAAAATCCTAGAAAAATCGAACCATGTTCCTATTTACAAGCTGCTTGCTTGAGTTTGTTGGACACGTATTAATTAATGCTCTTATTTGGGACCTTAATATATCTTATCTTTACAACTCAATCGTATTGCTCGAACCGGAAATCTAGGCACTTTATCACTATGGTAAATTTTTTTTTCCCACATGAATAAGTTCAAAAATATTGCATAGGGTATGTTACTACAAAATTTGCTGGATCATAATAGGCCCCTCTTTGGTATAGATTAAAATCTGATTTTAATCTCAACTCAAAAATCAACAATTAATTTTAATCAAACAGTTTATTGAATTGACAATTTTAGAACCATAAATTTTATACACTTTCATTAAAATTTAATAAAAGTCAGATTAAATTTACACCAAACAGGAGCTAAATGTATAAACTTATGACCATGAGATCCTCAACATTCATCAGTTTTTTCATCAAAACATTATTTTTTACTAAAATCTGCTAAAAAATGATTTTTAGCAAAACTAATCAAGGACTTAAAATGCCCTCTGAGTTGCATGGCTGAAAATATCTTTACATCTATGTAACGCTTTTCTTTAGTTGTATCAGTTTTCGAATATTTAAACTATTAGGGATATAGATTGTTGTGTAAAATATGAACACCAAAATAAATAAAAAAAAGAATAAAATTATGATCGACAAATAAAAAATTAAGTGATTCGACAATATACTAATATTTACTGTTGTACAGTGAAAATAATCCACTAACTTTGAATATGAATAGATACGTTTGAATATATGGAACTCTAATCTTGAAAGTACCCATCCAATACCAAACTGTACACTAATATCATAAAGAGATGAAGGTTAAGTTTGGAAAATACCGAAAGAATTGCCCATGTTGTACCCATTAGCTTCAGTGCTTTAGTAACAGATGTAGGTTTAATATGGAGGGTAAAAAAGATATTATATCCTCAATTTCGAATAAATTAATTTATAGATCTCAATTATACATCGTAAGTGTACAACACTTTATGTGCTATGTATGAGTTGCATGTCGAAAAATGGTAAGAACGTTCGATGATCCCATGTTAAAAGGGTTTGTTTGTCATTACAAGACAACAATCAGAATAAGTAGACCAATTGAGATCGATAGTGATCTTGACGAGCTTGACGGAATGGAATCCAATTGAGGAGACCGATTTAAATAGAAAAGCTACCTTGAAGTTCCAAGCATCATCCATCCCTATCCTTTTCAAGGGCACTCTAACCAGAAGTTGGAGTTGTCTTTAGCTACAACAAAAAAAGGGTGACATGGGAATTGAGATAATGGACATAGAAGCTTTCTCGTTCCTATCACCCCGTAGGAAAGAAAGAAGAATTAGACAACTAGCAATTGGGAATGATAGTGGTGATGTACATCAAGCGTGTTAATCGTCATCACATTCTAGTAAATCAAGGTATTTAGATGGTACGGAAGTGATGAAGAGAATGTTACGCCTTTTTTATGGAGGCTCCAAATCATGGCCATGTGGCAGCAAGTTGCAAACTCAACCAGGCCCACACTCCATATCACTGTTTGGAGCCATATATAAGGTAGTCGAAGTGATGCACAACCTCTATCGAAGTGCCATGTAGAGGCCGACCCACCATGACTTAGACAAAGTGCTATAACTTGTTGTAGAAGTGATCCAAGGTAATTAGCCTCTTGTTGATAGAAAATATTTTCCACCTTACCTTTTTCAAGAGAGATTCTTTTGTACAAGATCTTATAATTGATTGATGTGACATCTCTATAGTAGATGTCCAAACAATTAACTTGTCATCTATTTTTTTCGAGATTAGACGTAGGCTCTAGGGTGGCTACTTTTTAGAAATATTAAATGTCTTGCAGCCTTTGATTGATTGAGTGATACCTAGGAGGAGACACCTCAGATATGAGGATGATGCTACGTAATTTTTTACACATTGAATGTAAAGTTGATCTCTCTCATTTTTGTTATTTCTAAAACTCTCGATACTCAAACACTAACGTGACTCACGTATTCCGATTTTTACACCCTAATATACCAATACGATTGATTGACTTGACTGTCGGAATGTACGCGATCGTCTCCCCCACCTTCGAAGAAGGCCACGTGTTCCTAACAATTTGTCAAATTGTGAAAGAGCTTATCTACATAGATGTGAGTGGAGCCAAGATCTATTGACTCGTTACTCGTGTAGAAACTGAGGTCAATAAAAA